CTGCTCTGCGAAGCTTCCTTTCTCAGAAGGCCTTGCAAATTGTCGCAGAGGGCTCCACTGCCCAGCATCTCAAAAAAAGAAAAGGAAAGAAAAGAAAACCAACTCAGTGATTTGCAGGTGCAAAACGGAAGCCATCATTTGACATTTTCAGAACTGCTGTGGCTCACTCCCTTCTTCCATGGGAAAGAACACAGTTCAGGGACAGATGCCGTCTGGTATGGCCCCCAGGGAGGCGGCGGGGACTCTATTGCTCCTTGTTGTCTTTCTCTGTGTCTTCACAGTTGTCCTGCTCGTCCTCCTGGACCACGAACTCCTCGGGGGGCCACCGGAGCTCCCCGCTCTCCACCTCGCCCTCCGTGGGCTCTACCACGATGGAGGGCAGGCGGTCCTTCACTTTGCAGGAGCGGTCAAAGTCCGACGGGTCGGGGAAGATCTGGAAGAAAAACAGAGCAGGTGTCAGATCACGCACAGTACCGGAAAAGAGAAATCCTGTTCTTTCATTTCACATACACATGCAGAACGGAGCCCCTCCGGAGGGCCAGCCACCGTGCCAGGCTCTCAGGATCCCGGAAGGGAGCCCTAAGGCGGGAGTCAGGGAGAGGCTCCTGGGGCCAACACAGAAAATTGTGTCTCAGCAGACATTAATCCCGAAGCTGCAAATTTTCAGGGCAGTGCCACCAAATTTGTGGTGCCACTCTGTTCGTGCCTTTTCTTGTCTTTTATTTCCAGATAAAATAATTCAAAATCATGTCACCCAGAGTAAGCCACACCTGTCTGCAGCCAGCACGTTACCGCCTCAGTCTAAAGCATGTCACAGGTACCTTAATAGTGAATTCCTCCCAGAGTAATGATCAGCACCTAGTAGAAGCCAGCTCCCAGGTGCTTTACATATATAGTTTGGAACTAATACAGTTGTGCTGGAAAAATAGGGGTTTCTGATACTACCTTGAAGAATCTCAGGTTTGAAGAAGGAGGCTGCCCCAACCATACAGCCTGGAAATGAGTGGTTGTGGAATGGGATTCCAGCCCAGGTCCGTCTGACCCACGTGCCCAGGCCCCCAGAACACCCTGCCCCTCAAACAGATGAGTCCTGATCTCGCTGCAACTATAAAGTCAGGGCCAAATCAGGGTTGAGGGCATGACAGGTCCCAGTCACAGGCAAGCCAGGAAGAATTCTGTTCTCACTGTTTTCACCTGTGAGTAACTCCTGGCTCCTTGATGGTTCTACACCTGGAAGAGTCTTTTCAGAGTCCCGCCAATGAGGCTTCTTTCTTAAATGCCTATTGTGTGTCCTGCCTAGAGCTGGGAGAAATCCCAACCCAGGGGATAAAAACGAGGGCCACGAGGGGCTCTGCGGATTCCCTCTGTACTCACTGCCCTTATGACTACAGCTGACCCAATTCTCTGCCCAGCAGCTTAAGTACTTAATCTGATGGGCTGCTGGTCCCTTGCCATCCACAGCCTTCGGTGACACGCCCGAGAGCGGGAGAGAGGCGCCTCCGTCTGGGACACTGAGGCTTACAGAACACCGATGTTGAGAGCCATGTGGCGCCTTCAGAGCCACCTCTTCCAGTCTCTCCATTTGGTAGATGAGGAAACCAAGGCTCAGAGGGGCCCAGAGACTTGCTCAAGGTCACACACCTTGTTAATGGCAAGAGAAAGGAAAGCAAAATCGGAGTGGGTGCAGACACACATTTGAAGAGAGACTGGAGATTGCCCGAGCCGGGCGCAGATCAAGATAGGCCCACGTCAGCAAACAAGGGTCCTCTCTTTTCAGGAGGTAGCAGAAATGCTCTCCTACAAACTCAAGGCCTTCCCAGCTTTTGTGATGCCCAATCTTATAGCACCCCAGCCCTGAGCACTGCCGTCTCAGTCACAGACCATGTCGCAGGCCACGTCATAGGCCACGTGGGGCTTCCGAGAATCACGGGCCTCAACAAAACCTCCCCAATCCCTGCAGACAAGTGATTATTAACCATTTATCCAATAAAGCCCTATTGCTGGGGATTAAGCCTTAAGCCAGCTGCACAACCAGGCATCATTAAAGACTTAACAGGCTCATAAAAAGTATCGTAATGGCAGCCAGGAGGAAAACAAGCCAGAGGCGGGGTTAGACTAGTTGGGGCGAAAGGAGGCATGGGGACAGTGGACCCACGCTCTAGGTTTTCTCTCCCTGATGGGGCCAGCCCTGCAGTTCTGCCCTTGGGCTGTGCTGTGCACACAGACCTGATGTGCTGAGCAGGGAGAGGGTCGAGGGGCCCAGTTGGGCCCCTCCTCACTTCTCGCATGGAGCTGGAGTCTGTCCATGGGGGTGAAGCACAGGTGCCTTCTGTGAATGACCTTTGGGACTGAGCAAGGGGAAGCCTGACGAGTGGAATGCACGCCACCGTTTTCAAAGCTCTTTCAGACATCCCCTCATGGAGGTGCAGAGAGACCCCGGGCTCTGTGGGACCCATGGAACGGCTAGGATTCAAACCGAGATCTGCTGTTTTCAGTGCCTGTGCCTTTTGCAAAGTGAACGGATGCCCGTTTCACACATAGAAAACTGACCAGGGAGAGTGGGCAAGACTCCGGGCCTTAACCACCCATTCAGCTGCTAGACACTCCAGCTTAGGAGCAAGGATGACCTCTGGGCAGCTAGGTCTAGAAGATGAGCTTCCCAGTCTGGACAGTTGGTCTAAATCTTCAGGACCTGAGACAGAGCTATGACATATCAAAAGGAGATGGCCGCCTGGCTCAGCATGGACCTGGGCCCCTGCCTCTTCCCTCTGATCTCAAGCCCAGGGCTGGGCCTACCTGTGACATCCCAGCAACTGGATTCTAATTATGATCACCCGAGCCAAGTAAGAGCGAAAGGGACAAGACGTAGCAAGGCCAGCTGAAGGAGGAGGAGGACAGTGAGAATGGAGAGCATGTCATTTCGTTTCAGGATGGGAATAGGTCTTTAAAATTAGGGTGGGGGGTAATGTTAAAATGATGATGATGGTAATAGAAGATAAGCCAGGCACATTTGGTGGGCAGAATCTCATCCTTTACAATCCTATGAAGTAGTGATCCCTATTGTATAGATGAGGAAACTGAAGCCCAGAGAAGGCAAGGGACTTACTCAAGGCCACACAGCTAGGAAGTGGCTGAATGGGGACCTGAACTCAGACCTGTAGAACCTCAAATTTGATAACACATTGTGCAGAGCCACAGACTGCAAATTCTCTCTACGTCCATGACATTACTTCTATAACCCCAATCGGGTCCTCTCGACTGCTGGTGACTCAGTTTCTCCTTTTGAGAAGCGAAGCGACCTTCACATCTCACTAGATGTGTACAACTTCTTGGCAAACACACAGATGATAAAATGCTTTGAGGACATATGCTGAATTCAAACTGGAATGTCCTCTTTGGAGTCGTTTCAACAAGACTACAGTAAGTATTCAATCTCCAAGCAAGAGGCGGCAATACTCACATGGTAATTAAAATAACTCCAAACAATGCCTTTCATACCAGGAGCTGCACAATTAAGTCTTTTAAGTCCTTGGGGGAAGTCTGAGCACTGAACTTCTGATACTGTTCAGATGCCAGAGAACTTTGCTCCCTGAATGGCTCAAAGGAGGCGCCATTAAAATTTTTTTTTTCCTTTACAAAGCCTGTTAATTGCATTAAAAAAAATCACTATAATAATCATACCTTTCCATCAAAGGTTTTATTTTATTATCAAATAATGCCAATTTATGCCTCTGAAAATTGTAGCTGTCTCCAAAGACAAACATGAGCCCAGACCAGTTTCTCATTTCCTCACATGCAGACAGAAAGCCTTGCAAAGTGTTGCTGAGCATTTTGCCAGCACAATCTTATCTCCGACAGCTGCTTAAGAGGCTGACCCTAAGGAGGTCGAGATTTTTCCACTAAGTCATGCTTTTTAATCATCTAGGCAGCAGAAAAATGAGAGGTTGCAACTGCAATTTGACGGGGTAGGGAAGGCAGTGGAAAAAAGGACTAAAGTCAGACTTGCCAAGCACATGACAGGTAAGGCCGGGGGCGGCAGGCCAGCCTGGCATGCTGTTTGCCTGCAGGAACTGGCAGGGAATAAAGAACGGCCCCTGTTCCAAAAAGAAACTGCTTCTGGTTCAACCTCTTACCCCAATGTGCCCCTTGTCTCTGGACTAGGGAAGGGGGAAAAAAAAATCCTTTTCTCTTCCCTCTGCAGCAAAGACTCATCTTCAAGAGGTCCAGAAAGGAAGATGGGAGGCTCTGAGAAGCCTTTCCCACCATAACCCCCCTGCATAGGGCAGGGCAGATCTAGAAGTATCCATCCCCAGCTGTGAGTCTCTCAGCCCTGTCCCTCCCTCCCTCTGCCGACATTGGATTCCACATCCAGCTATCCCACTGTCACGCTTGGCTGCCGGAGCTGATGGCTTGGATGAAACTAACAGACACTAAGTTCCTTCCTTTGCAAATGGAGTGAAGTGTTGAAGTGCACACACAGCATCCCGGCCGGATCCTGTGTGTCCCACGGTGTGGGAAACAGCAGGCGTTCAAACTTGGCACGAGTGAATTTTATAGAGGACACTTCTCCAGGTGGCCTCTCATCCCAACAAGCCCTGACATTTTGGGAACTCAAATGGGTTCACTTGAAAGGTCAAGGGAGCTTTAGAACCCTCTACGAGGAAGAAATGGTCTGTGAGATGTAGTTTGGGTGCCAATATACTGGAATTTCTGGGTGTATGGATGAGAGCTGTCCATTAGGACTTTCTGTGATATTGGAAATGTTCTGTCTCTGTACTAACAGTAGCCAGTAGCCACATTGGCTATTGAGCACTTGAGATGAGGCTAAATTGTTAAATTTTCTTTAACTTTTATCAGTATAGACTTATCTATGTAAATATAAATTTAAATTTAAATAGCTGCATGTGGCTAGTGGCTACTGCACTGGGCAACGCAAACATAAATAGTTAAATACGAGGACCAGGAAAACAGGCTGGTCCAGGAAAACTGTCAGGATGTTTGGTTGATGGACCAACATGGGCAGCCTCACAGCAGAGTAGTCTGGGGTTGGGGGTGAGGAATTAGAAGGCTTTTCGCTTGAATGTAAGAATTGCTGCTCAGTCGGCTCCCATTTCACCCATGGAGGGGAACTGAGAGCTAATATCAAATCTCCAAAGGCCTGAAATTTGGGGTCCTAGCTATCAACTGTCTGCCTCTAAGCCAGGTGACCTAAACCTGGCTGCCTCTGCAGTGGGGAGAGAAGAGAGATGTCTGGCACCTGGGATGGAAAATGTGAGCAATTCTGGTGGGAACAGGCCCTCCCCTGAGTGCACGCGTCCCTCAGCCATCATTCCTGACAAACGACTCACAAGACCTGGCCACAAAGAGGGTGGAGGGCTCGGCAAAGAGCTGAGAGATGCTAACAGGGAAAGCGGACACCAGCCAATGCAGGAG